AGTCCTGACTTTGGGAAGCCGAGGAGTCCTGATTTTGGGAAGCCAAGGAGTCCTGAATATGGTAGATTTCGCAGGTATTATATTCTTATCAGTAAATTTAAACCTTTCATGCACTCTTTTTCTTCACTCTTGCAGCTTATTTATTCTGCTTTATCTGCAGCCGTTCTCCAGTGCGCAGGTCTAGAACGTAAGGATGTCCGTTTTTAGAGTAAGAAGAAAGGCTACAATGGCACTTTTACTTTCTAGTTGTTAGAATAGCAAGTGGTACATTATGTAGTAAAAGGGTATTTCTGAGTTTAATGTGGTTTGCGTCTTTATCTAGCAATTAGTGCCAATGGTTCCATAGGGACCTACTACGAGACCTTGTTTAGTGTGGGATTATTAATGCATATTTTTTCAATGACATCGTGCTTTGCTACAGCCCAAAGTCTCTTTCCGTAGCCTAGTATTAACACTATTGTGAATGAGTGTGCTCTTGCAGTTAATCTGTAATCAACTGTGCTCTAAAAGAAATGTTATTTGCTAACTCGCTCGTGCACTGATTCTACGGTGATATGCATTATTTTAAATGCCCTCTTTTTGCCGAAGAAACCTCATTCTTGTTTTTATCAAGTACTCCTATACACTAATTCTGCCCCAATTCTGAAAAAAAAAACTTGGTAAAAGTAGGTGTCTGAGTTGTATAAATAATTTCTTATTTGCTAGATGCTCGAAACCTTGGATGATATTCGTTTAGGTTTATTTGGTGTAGTAATTTTGGTAACCAGCATTGGCTTCTTTTTAGTCATTTTCAATTTAAGGTAGAATTGTAACGACTTTGATTATTCGCGTCTTGGATGCGCATCCCTACCTTTGCATGTTTCTGTAATGAATCAATTCTAAAAGCTAAATCCATAAAAAAAATGTTTATATTATTTAAGCGCTATTCGACTTGATAACCTTTTTTTTATGCTTTTTCTTAACAAACAACATCAAATGCTATTAGGGTGATAAAATAGGTTGGGTCTGACGGCTTGCCTATGTGGGTTGGGACGAATTGTGATTTTTTGTTCTTTCCCTTTTTTATTTTTATTTGAGATTTTGATTTTAGCGTTCTCAGAAGAGATCTATTGGTCTTTGTTTGATATTTTAAGTGTAATTTTATATTTGAGAAAAAAGATTAGATTTTAAATTTGGAAATGAAGGGGTGAGTTGAAGGTATTGAAAAATGACAGGTTTTTTGTGGCCTGTTTTTGTCACTCTTAAATGCTAATGGGTTTTTATTTTGTTTTTATATATCTTTTTAAGAATGAAAATATATATTAAAAAGTTAAGATAATAATTTCATACTAGTGAAAACGAAAAGTCAACTTTTTATATGGCAGGCTTGTTTGAACTTTTTTATTTGCTTAATGTGGTCTTAATAAACTTCTAGGGAAAACATCAAATAATTAGCCGTCGCCCTTCGGCAAGTGTTGAAATTAGAGTAATATAAGAAAAAATTTCGCATAATTCGGTCGAAGTTTCTCAAATTTCAACTCCTAAATAATAGGAGAATGGGTCTTGTTTTATCTATTTAATAGCTTTTTTAAAAAGAATTCAAATTTCATTAACCCATTTAGTAGAATTTAAAGTTATTTTAAGTAAGTGAAATGTATAGAATTTTTTTACAATTTTAAATTATTTTTTATAATATATAAAAATAAAGTATGCTTTTAATATTTAGTCTTCTTA